GTTCAACGACTGAACAATACGTCTTTTTTGTTGTTTATAAAAGCTACAGCTAAATGAGATAATGTAGTTAATAAATGTATTCTTTGATATGGTTTAGCCTTTCTCAGGCTACAACATGGTTACGTTTATGAATATTATTAAGGAATACAAATCCCTCTTTGCAATGTTTACCAGCCTCCTTAGGCTTTTCAATCACAATCATTCAACTGGAATAAAAACAATATTGTTAACATGAAAATATGATTTTATGTTCGTTGTTAAGAGTTATTCTAAGGCTTTACTCATTCGGAACTCGGTATGAGATAGAGTACACTATTGAGATGTCAAATCTGCCTGTTTTACACACTTTGACCAACAGGGGGGTTTGTGTTCAAATTAAGCCCATGATGAAGCCTCATGAGATGAACCCTTTTGCGAACCAATTGGCTGGAAAGCTTCAAAGCTTCATAAGGCTTCATCTCGCCATCACTAGAGAAATGCTAACGCTAACGCTAGCGATCTTCTCTACTTCATGCTATCTGCACAAATGGTTGACATTAAACATTAAAACGACCAGGCAGTTCAGAAAGAATCAAAGGAAGGCAGGCAGGCAGCTTTGCATGACTTTCTTCAGGACGTGTTTCATTGTGGTGATAGTGAGGGTAGTCAATCGTTTTGTTGACAAGACAGTAGTGACGGCCATCTTGGTGACGTGTGTTGTTGACCAGAGATGTAGTTCATTGAGCGTTTCACACAAACAAATGTGTTACTTTTTATGTGTACACAGTTTTACGACACATTTTTTTTTTTTGACTTGCAAAATTATCTTTTAAATTGACAAACATCATATGTGTAATTCGTGGCACAATTCAAACGGGATCGAAAGATAATAAGGATTAGGCAAATAAAGGTGGATCAGCTAATCAAGAGTCTGGCAATGTCCAGCCAGGAAATGATTCACAAACTATCATTTTATTTGACGGAAGACATATGATGATGCCAATAAGGATTGCTTATTTTTTCACATAAATAAACTTGAGGGATTTTTAAACTGTAAGGAAATACCTTCTAAAACATTGGACTGAAGTGCACAATCTTTATTGTTGAAGCAAGGGTGTGTGTGTGTGTGTGTGTGTGTGTGTGTGTGTGGTGTGTGTGTGTGTGTGTGTGTGTGTGTGTGTGTGTGTGTGTGTGTGTGTGTGTGTGTGTGTGAGAGAGAGTGAGAGAGTGAGAGTGAGAGTGAGAGTGAGAGTGAGAGTGAGAGTGAGTGTGAGTGTGTGTGTGTGGCTGAAGGTGTGCAAGCTTCCTGTGAATCAGTACAGGAGTCTTGTAAGCAGTTTTGAATGTTCTCCCACCCTTATATGATTCATTTATTTTGACACATAATAATGTGAAAAGATGTATGTCAGCTGGAAGGAGAGAAAGTGAAGGCAGAGAGCAGAGGTTGGATATTAAAGGGAGTAGAGGTGGGAAAGACTAGGAGCAGGGAGTGGCAGGGCGAGGTGTTGGATTGTGGTCATGAATCCTCTCTCATTCCTGTCTTGCATGTCGGGACTCATTCCTGCTCTCTCGCCTGGTCTTTGGTATTCTTAAAAAAACATTTTTCTTTTTAAATGTGATGCTTCTATTGCTTCTGGGAAACCTTTTGGATGATTAATTCCTCTAAAAAAACAGGAGTTTGTTCCTGCTTGATTATTCCAGGGAAATATGGTGGAAAGTTAGGACATGAGCCAAAGCAAAACATATCAGTTGTTTGGTACGAATGGTTCCATCAAGGTGCCCTCTATGGTTTCCTCTACTGGCACGGATGTTTATGACATAATGACTTTGCTACAAAACTACACATTTATATTGATTCCTACACATGTCATTTAATCTGTTAAGCCCCGAGCCTGTTTTCCAGGTCTCAGGCTCGAAAATGACTATATCTTCCCTTCTAAAAAGGGGTAAATTAATAATCTTTTTTCTCAAAGCAATGATAAACCTGTGAGTTGGATGTAGAAAAGTCAGAATCAATATAGATTTTTTTTATTTTAAAGTAAATTCAGATTGAAAAAAATGTAAATTTATATGTTGTTTGTCAATTTAAAAGATAATTTTGCAAGTCAAAAAAAAAAAAATGTGTCGTAAAACTGTGAAGTAACACATTTGTTTGTATGAAACGCTCAATGAACTACATCTCTGGTCAACAACACACGTCACCAAGATGGCCGTCACTACTGTCTTGTCAACACAACGATTGACTACCCTCACTATCACCACAATGAAACACGTCCTGAAGAATGTCATGCAAAGCTGCCTGCCTGCCTTCCTTTGATTCTCTCTGAACTGCCTGGTCGTTTTAATGTTTAATGTCAACCATTTGTGCAGATAGCATGAAGTAGAGAAGATCGCCGATGCTAACGTTAGCGTTAGCATTTCTCCCTCGGGCGAATGTGGAGGAAAACAATTGTGACATCACTTACGCGACTCTGGGATTTGTAGTCTTTCTAGTTACGTATTTTTCATAGTCTTATATTTCAACAGTTTTACGACAAACTGTGACTTTTTTTACATGGAAATTATTTTTTAAGATTGACAAACATCATATGTGTAATTCATGGCACAATTCAAACGGGATCGAAAGATAAGTTTTCTCTCCCCATTGACTTCAATGCATAATTTTTCCGAAATAAGGTCCCATTACCCGGAAGTAAGTGGGCGTGACTTCGCCACTCTATTTTGGCGGGAGCTCAACCTTTCTCAACCTTTGAGGCACGTGACGTCCCGACTCCCGTGTTGTGTACTTACCCAGTCACAAAAGTAACATATTATATCTTATATTATTAATATATATATAATTCTGATGTCTGTGGTTATTTAAACATTCCCTGATAAACGTTATTTCAGCATCAATAAATGAGTGTTAATCCCAGTGTGTTTAGTGTACAACATCACATGTCATTTCACCTTCAATTCACGGTTTTCACAACGTTAGCCACATGCTAATGCTAACCGGAAATGAAGACCTTTCACAATAAAAGTGTTAAGTTAATAGTTAGTGTGAACTTCGTTTTTTTCAGAATAAAACTGCTTTAAATTAAAACCCTGTATTGAATTTAAATTACGTCATATCAACATTGATTTTAATTTCTTACAGTAGGAGAGGTTTTGGGGTTTGGGAGGGAGGAAGGAAGATTAGGATTAGGTAAAAAGGTAGGTAGTGGTTAGGGTTAGGATGGGGGAAGGGAAGGGTTAGATTGAAGGGAGGGAAGAGAACTGCTACCGGGAAACAGGATGCAACGCGTCATCTGTGAAGCTCCGCCCACGTTGAGCTCCCGCCCACATTGAGCTCATTGAGGCATTGCGCACTGCATTGAGGGGCTTCTCATGAAATCGGGAGGGTTGGCAAGTATGCTTTAATGATCAATAATTATATAACATAGGCCCATGGGCGTAGGAAGCATCCTGAATGTGGGGGGGACATTTTTAACGGGGGGTGTGGGGGCGAAAAAATATATAGATTTCCTGTATTCTGGTGCATTTTAACAGGTGGTTTGATACTTGTATGTGGCTATACTAGCATGAGGAAAATGATGGGTACATTTTGTAATTTCATCCAGTAGTAAAGAAAGGAAACATATTTCATTATTAATTCAGAGCTGTCTTTGAATTAATAAAAAGCAGTTTAAATGCCCATTTTTTGTACATTTATATACAACAATAAATATTTGAGTGCATTGAGAGATATTGTTGTGGAGAGTCATTTATATATAAATCGCAAAATACATTTGTGAATCCTTCTGTGAGCATTTATTAATATTGAGACTGATCTGACTCCATACAGATGTTAAGTTCAAATAAATGTTGCTCTTCTGTCTATATTGGTCATATGATGCCCCTTGACTGAAATGTTTCCTGTTCAATATCCCCACTGATTTCCTTAAAATCCTGGGATGAGAGTCCACATCACAATTTACTCTCAACTGTCATTTCCCTTTCATCACTCACCTCAGCAATGGACCTCTCTCTCTGTCCCTGTATTCTGCCTCTGACTCACTCTCAAGTGCCTAGATGTCAAGAGAGGTGGTGAAGTGATAATTATTTATTGAGCAGTATACTCTTTCACATTGAATCATAACAAGTCATACTGAATGTAAATACAACTGACTCTAAAGTAAGTCCCAGTCTGTGACATTGGACATTTTGAAGACTCAAAGTCCCAAGCAGTAGGTATCTCTCTACCATGACATAAAGACGAAACTCCTCTCCAGAAGTGAGACGCCGCCATCACTGTTAACTGCTACCAGCTGATGACTTACTTTCCTCTTCTTTGAAAAAAATGTTCTTATGCCCATGTTGTCTGGGGGAGAAAACATATCAAACCAAGAGATCGTCAGCTTTGATTTTCGCTGTATTAACCATTTCCCGAACATTTGGTGTGTGTGCCTTACCTCCGCTACCGGCATCGCTTCATACAACAAATCTGAGCTGTCCAACTATGACAACACTCCTTGAACATGCGCGCGCTATGTGAGAATCTGCCTTGGTACAAAGTAGCAGTGAAAACATGGTACGGAGTTTCATTGATTTGGGCATTCTCTCAATAAGCAAGTGGAATGGATTTAATTTGATAGTAAAGCACTGACACAGCGCTCTACAAAGTGCGGCGAGTGGATAGACCGATTCACGGACTTTCCGCATAGTAAAAGTGGGGAGGTCTAAACTAATCATTTGAAAAAGTGGGGGGGACTTGTCCCACCCTCATATAATGGCTGCGACGCCCATGCATAGGCCTATATATTATTCTGAAATGGACCAATCTGCACAATGACTACTTTTACTTTTGGTACTTTAACTATATTTTGATGATAATACTTTTCTACTTTTACTTGAGTAACATTTTGAATGCAGGACTTTTACTGTAACAAAGTATTCCTACACTCTGGTACTTCTGCTTTTACTCAAGTACAAGATCTGAGTACTTCTACTTTTACTCAAGTACAATATTTGAGTACTGTTCTGTGTACTGCAGTACTCACCTGATTTGAAGTACAGCCAGTGGTAGAGGTTGCTGCCGTCGATCAGCAGCCGGCACTGAAAGAGGTGGAGATCCTGGTAGATGCTCCGGTGTTTCTCCAGCAGAGTGGTCAGGCCTTGGACTCCCATCCTGGGCAGAGAGTTTCTGAGGAGCCGGTGGGGGGGATCCGCTCTTATAGGAGCTGCTGCACCTCCTCCCTCCCTTAAGTTTCACTTTCCTCACATCACAGCAGCTCCCAGTCTCTGCCTTCTCTCCACCGTGTTAAGCCATTATTTAAAAAATATTTAGTCTTTATTTTGAGAAAATAAGTCATTCTTGAGATATTAAGTCATTATTTTGTAATATTAAGTCATTATTTGTAATATTAAGTCATTATTTTGTAATATTAAGTCATGTTTTGTAATATAAAGTCTTTATTTTGTAATATCAAGTCTTTATTTTGTAATATACAGTTTTATTTTGTAATATAAAGTCTCTATTTTGTATTATTCATTCATTATTTTGAGATATTAACTCATGTTATTTAAAAAGTTCCTCATTTAAATGACTTACTTGCCTCCCTTGGCAGGAATGTTTTTGTAAAGTTTGGAAACGGAAAGTGAAACTCAAAGGAATTACTCGTTTTAAAATTCATACAGTCTATGGTTTGACCCCAAGTGCTCCTTTGGCAAGCGGTCACAGGTCCTGGAACCACCTCGATGGAAAATGGGTCAAATCTACTCCAGGGGGGCCACTTAATAATTGTTGAATGTTTTGGAAGTTTTTGTTAGATATATGAACTCAACAGACAAAGCAACAACCCTACTCTTAATATGATTTATTTATTTGTAAATCATGTATTATTTGATCAATAAATTAATTTTAACAGCTTTCTTTTACACATGTTCCATATGTAACCTTAACTATTGTGTGTGGTGATAAACTAAAATGTCATGGGGACATACAGATTCGGCCTTTAATGGTCCAAGGGCAGGGCAGATGAATACAACTATGCCATGAATGGAGGAGAGACGTTGGTATAATTATTACTATTCACCAAAACATTATTCAACAATGTTTAAACAAACTAACTCCATGTCCGGTTTTGCAAACTTTATTGTTGGTGTCAGAAATCACCATTTGTTGATTCCCTACCTACCTGACCTGAGATCAGTCTCAATCTTCCCGCCCACCACACTCACGTTATCACTTGCCTGTCTGCCCGCTTCTCATTAACATAGGCTAATGATCATGCAGCTGCACACCGGGAGGTTTCACAGGTTAAATCAAACGTCCCTCTCTCTGGGAGCAGCGTTTCAGGTGAGGAAGCAGCAGAGGGAATGCAGTCCAACATGAGGCCAAACATGACTCTCGTGGTGCTGCTACTGCTAGCGGTGTGTTTCCTCGGTGTGTGTACGCTCTCACATGTGGAGGAGATGAAGACCCAGGAGCGGCTCTTCATCAGCTCTCTGGGGCTCTCCGGGCTGCCTCAGCCGGCGGGGAGCCACCAGTCCCGGTGTTATGCCGTAGATTGAAGCCCTGTCCGCGGGGACGCGCACAGGTGACGTCATCGCCTGTATTGAGTTTCGCCGAGTTTTCAAAGCTTTTTTCTCTCTTTTGAATGATATATTTCACATCAGATTAAACAGCAAACGGCTGAATAAATAATGTGCATACAATTACAAGGTTGCTCGTTTTAAGGAAAGGCAATGAAAGGATAAGATGTCATTTGTCAGTATAGTCCTATTTCTTAAAACCTTCGCTGTTGTTTAAGTGTCTGATACTTGATAACCATGAATAGTAAGCAATGATATAACAGTAATGATATAACATATATGATAATGTAAGACACTGTGTTATTTTCAATCAAGCCTAAAAGATAATTTGTTCAAACTAGCTCCACTCGCTTTGAATGTAATTTTCCTCTGTGGTTTCCTACTCAACACATTTTTGTATTGTAATGCCACTCATATTTTATTTTTTATTTTATTTTAAGGTGACATTGAATGTTTTGAAAGGTGCCCTAAAATAAAGTTTATTATTGATTAGTGCCTATATCACACTATTAATGTTCCTTATTTTAGACTAGGTTAATCCTGGTGTCAATAGGGAAGATCTGCACTGTTCTCTACATAACATGTTCAGCAGAGCAGGTATTTCTCCTGCCAGATTTGGAACCCCCCCTATCATTTTGTCCAGGATGGTCATAGACTCACCAAAATCACACTGGTGTTTGCTGTTCCCCTCTAGTGTGTGCTCACAAAAGCATTTTACTCTGGGCCCAGCAGGTAAAAAACTAAAGAGGGGCTTCCAAATCCGGCAGACCAGGTGTTGTAGCTGCCGGATTTGGAAGCCCCCCTATATCTTTGTCCAGGATAGTCACAATTTCACCAAAATCACACTGGTGTTTGCTGTTCCCCTCTAGTTTGTGCTCACCAAAGCATTTTACTCTGGGCCCAGCAAGTGAAAAACTAAAGAGGGGCTTCCAAATCCGGCAGACCAGGTGTTGTAGCTGCCGGATTTGGAAGCCCCTCTTTAGTTTTTGTTGAAGTTGTGACTGTCCTGGACAAAGTTGTAGGGGGGGTGCCATATCTGGCAGCACCTGGTCTGCCGGATTTGGAAGCCCCTCTTTAGTTTTTCACTTGCTGGGCCCAGAGTAAAATGCTTTGGTGAGCACAAACTAGAGGGGAACAGGCAACACCAGTGTGATTTTGGTGAAATTGTGACTATCCTGGACAAAGATATAGGGGGGGCTTCCAAATCCGGCAGCTACAACACCTGGTCTGCCGGATTTGGAAGCCCCTCTTTAGTTTTTTACCTGCTGGGCCCAGAGTAAAATGCTTTTGTGAGCACACACTAGAGGGGAACAGCAAACACCAGTGTGATTTTGGTGAGTCTATGACCATCCTGGACAAAATGATAGGGGGGGTTCCAAATCTGGCAGGAGAAATACCTGCTCTGCTGAACATGTTATGTAGAGAACAGTGCAGATCTTCCCTATTGACACCAGGATTAACCTAGTCTAAAATAAGGAACATTAATAGTGTGATATAGGCACAGATATAAGATCAATAATACACTTTATTTTAGGGCACATTTCAAAGCATTCAATGTCACCTTAAAATACAATAAAAAATAAAATATGAGTGGCATTACAATACAAACATGTGTTGAGTAGGAAACCACAGAGGAACATTACATTCAAAGGAGCAATTAAAGCGAGTGAAGCCAGTTTGAACACATTATAATCTTTTAGGCTTGATTGAAAATAACACAGTGTCTGACATATGTTATATAATTACTGTTATATCATTGCTTATATTCGTGGTTATCAGACACTTAAACAACAGAGAAGGTTTTAAAAAATAGGACTATACTGACAAATGACATATTATCCTGTCATTGTCTGTTCTGTAGGAAGGAGGAACATAACAGAGTGGACTCAAAAACGGAAGTTTGTTCCAATACGAAGATTGTGACAGATCTGAAAAGTGTCCTTAAAACGAGCCTCCACGCAATTGTATGCACATTATTTATTCAGCCGTTTGCTGTGTAATCTGATGGGAAATATATCATTCAAAAGAGAGAAAGTAAATAGTATCTTTCGTTTTTCCGCTTAGAAAACGAGGCGAACGCTCAATACAGGCGATGACGTCACGTTGCTCGTCCCCGCGAACAGGGCTTCAATCTACGGCAAGGCTTCAATCTACGGCATAACACCGGCACCATGTCCCCTCCGCGTTCTGGAGGATGTTCCGGAGGTCAGAGATGAAGGCCCGGGAGAGCGACCCCTGCACGGTGTCAGAGTACGGAGTCCGCGGCAACATCATCCGATACGTTCAGGAGGACCAAGGTAAGATGATGTTTAATGTGAATTAGAGGACAATTGTGCTCCTAAAACCAGAATCTAGACGTTTGAAGTGTAGTTCCTTACACATATCCAGGACTCCTACGTCATTAAATGCAGAAAACATGCATTGCTTTAAAGATCCAGTTATGAAAATATGCACACCACATCTTCATTTAATACAAATGTTTGAAAACATCAAGACATGACATGTTTGTACTACAGCCAGTACAATAGACATATCAATAAATGTAGGTGAAAGTTGAATACATTATATGTGAGACAGCATTATCAACAGACCCAACTTGAACAGCTCACTAAATATCTTTTTCTATGTTCAAGTTTCAAGGCTTTTATTGTCATGTGTGCATAGCTACAGTGTAGTTATGACAATGAAAATATTAGGTCACAGGCTCCTCCAACAGTGCAACACAATAAAACAGATAAAATATTACATCATTAAGTAAATGAAATAGAATATAATAGGAACAGAATATGATAGAAACTGTGCAGAATAGTCTATATACAGTCATTTGAATATTGATATATATTATATATGAGTTGCAAACAGATGAATGTTATGTATGCAGTGTTTCCCCTACCATTGTCTTGGCGGGGCGCTGCACACAGCAATGCAAAGCAGGAGTTCAGGTTTGACAAGTAAACACTGACCTCATGTAAACTCCAGCTGAGCTTTACACAACTCCAACAGGTGATCAGTCACATGACTAAAAACAGCAGTGTGTTGCATGGCTTTTATCTTCAGTGTTTGTCCTTGGTCTTTCAGTTGTTTTAAGGGGTCTTGCGGCACTATGAGGGGTATAAGAAGGTGTTTCAGGGGGATGCTATAGGAAACCAGAGGACTTTTAGGGGTCTCCACTTTCCACTTGTTCTTTCGATGTGGTTCCAGGTGTACTTTATTAAGGTATTTTAGGGACACTTGAGGTTGATTTAGGGGAGGAATAGAGGAAAACAGGGTCCAACAAAATCACAAGTTAGGGTTATTAAGGGTTCTTATGTTTGTTTCTCAAGGTTTTTTTAATTACACTGTATGTGAGGGATAGGGTTGAGGGTCTTTTTATTTATATAGTCTTTTGTGTCTACCATTAGAATTTGGGAGTCATATGTTGATCCTGCAGGGTCTTCTGGAGGATGAACGTTTAGTCACATAAAAACACCATTTAAAAATATAAAACAAAGTATTTAACATTTCCTTATTTATATCCTCCTTTATTACCTCATTGAGTGAACATAAAAACACAAGACAAGCGAATCGTTTGGAAAAATAAGTAGAAGAGAAAGAATAAAAGAAGAATTTTAGTTATGAATACAAGTAAACAAATGCACAAAAATGTCTCTGACAAACAGTCACTAAGAACGTACGAGAAGAACAAAGCGTTAACATTCATGAGACTAAAGAAACACAATTATCAAGTTTTTTAATATAACATGTTTACAGTGAATTCCACTTATTAAAACTCTTTTGTGTTTTCAATAACAATCGAACAGTGCATCACATTTTAAGGGCAAATAAGAAAAAACAAGTGCTGATGCCCATCACCCTAAGGTGATGGGCATCAGCACTTGTTTTTTCTTATATTTCTATATTACCATGCATTAATGAGTTGGATATTAAAGGTGGGGTAGGTAAGTTTGAGAAACCGGCTCGAGATACACTTTTTGTTATATTCCATGGAATGCTCTTAACATCCCGATAGCAATGAATATCTTAAGTGCTTTGACAAAAAGTCCATAAAAAATGTCATCTGTGGAAGCCGTAGTACTGTAAAAAGCACGACCAATCATTTTAGCCGGCCCGGCTAAAATAACTGGATGGCCTACCTGCCTGTCAGCCTTCCATCTGTGCACAAACTTATCTCGTGCCCTCATTGGTCATTTGCGCGTTCGTGTGTGTCCAAAATTACCTACCCCACCTTTAATTTACTTAATCTAAATGTAATAACATTTTCAATTATAATACCTTACATTTATGTCATTATGACCTAATTCTTCTTCTTGAGGTGATTGTGTCTAAATAAAGTTATCTGTCTGCTTCAACTTGCTGGTGTCTGTCTTGTCAGGCAGCTTTCCTTCAGCTCTGAAATTGACAGCTTTCCCGCGTATCGGTGGCGTGCAAAGTTGCCACGAGCGCTAGGGGCTCCAATTATTATTATTTTAAAAAAACATTTTTTTTAAAGTGCCGCCGCTATTTGTATATAGGGGAAACACTTTTTCACACACACACACACACACCTGAGTCACAGGCTGTATTCCTATTGTTTTCATTGTCTGACATTTGATATACCTGAGTACATTTATTCAGGTAAAATAATACCGCCGCCGCTATTTGTATATAGGGGAAACACTGCCCTTAATTCAAATTATACAATTTTGAGGGCATAAAGAGACGAAGAAAGAAATGTGCAAAAAGGTGTAAAATGTGTGCAGATTTAAAAAAGAAAGTGCTTCTTGTTTCAGAGTAACGTAAATATTATGTATCAGACTGATGTGAGGGAAGTTAACGAGAGTCTGATGAACCCGGCTTGTTTTCCTCCCTTGAGCTCAGAGCAGGTCCCGGCCGCGGCGCTCCTCTTTGCGGGCCAGCTCCGGGTTCTTGCTCCGGTTCTTCCTGTGTTTCGCTCTGAAACGAGTTTTCACTGACAGCAGCTCGCTGAGGCGCAGATTCTCCTGCACCCACCTCGAGCTGCTGGCCTCCTCCTCCTCCTCCTCCTCCTCCTCCTCCAGGGGGAAGAGCTGCTGCAGGGTGGAGGTCAGGTCGTCCAGAAGCTGCCTCTGCCGATCCTCCCCCGTCCTGTGGCTCTCTTGAGGGGGGATCTGGTGCACCACGGCCTGAATGGCTTCGAACAGCATCACACTGCAGGGGTTCTCCTTCAGGAAAGGCCTCTTCTCTCCCCCGTACCTCATCCTGTGCACCAGCTGGTGAACCAATGTCCCCTCAAACAACCTGAGGGATGGGTGGAGGTCAACTTAATATTTGTATTTCATTGCAAAAATGGTTTGGATACAACTAGAACATTAGGTGTGCCAAGAGAGGAGATGTAAATGGTCTACAAAGGCTAAACGCCTCCATTGGACTCCTTTGTTTACTACTGGAACATAGGAAAGTCTCACCTGGAGAGGGGGGGCTCAGGTAGGACTCACCTGGAGAGGGGGGGTCTCAGGTAGGACTAACCTGGAGAGGGGGGGCTCAGGTAGGACTAACCTGGAGAGGGGGGGCTGAGGAAGGACTCACCTGGAGAGGGGGGGGCTCAGGTAGCGGTAGGCCCAGCAGCTGGTTGAGCTGCAGGCTGGACTTCAAGCAGGACTGCCACTGGTTCAGAGAGTGAGACACCTGCAAGTCCAGCTTCTGTCTGGGGGGGGGGGCAGGGCTGAAACACACACACACACACACACACACACACACACACACACACACACACACACACACACACACACACACACACACACACACACACACACACACACACACACACACACACACACACACACCCCTGAGTCACAGGCTGTATTCCTATTTGTTTTCATTGTCTGACATTTGATATACCTGAGTACATTTATTCAGGTACAATTTTGAGGTACTTTTGATGCTTTATTTGTTGATTCCACTCCACTACATCTCTGAGGGAAACATTGTATTATTTTATCCCTCACAATCAATTCACAGCTTTATTTAATTTATTCAGAATTACATTTGAATTATCAAGAGAACGGTTTCACTGGAAATTGGGCGTGGCGGTATTAATGACAGGAACATCTTTTAATGTGTGTGTTTTTTTACCTCCCCTGAAGGCGTCTCCGGAGCTCAGCCCGAGCAGCAGAGCCTTCAGCACCTCCTCGTCTGCAGGAGGCTGGGCTCTCTGCAGCCAGAAGCAGGTGACACACACAGGGAGGCGCAGGGGGGGAGGCACGGGGGCCAGGTAGGCCTCAGGGACCCCCAGGGCCTCAAGGAGAACCTTCAGACGTAGAGAGGCGTCCGCCTGGGGGAGGAGGAAGAAATGTCCCCATTAAAAAACATTAACTGGCTAACAAGTGTCTAAATGACACGACTCAACGTCATCATGGCCAACATTAGCCACCTTTAGCTTAGCGGTGGTGACGTGAATTCATGTGACCGTGCTGTAGTTCCTTTATAGCCCAACATTAGCTTTTTACTTCAGAAATCTTAAAGTGGAGATTATCCTACTGAACTAAACGTGTAAGTATTATAAACGTTTGTTACAGACATTATTTTATGTCATAATCCAAAATCACATGGAGGTATCCCTTTGGACCAGGGAGATGATTCCTTCAGGGTCCAACACAGAAATAACACGACATCACTCCACCCCAGTATAAAGACATAAATACCAAATGTAAAGATGCACGAACCCACCTTATCCAGTGTTTGCAGTGAGAGCTGCAGAGAGCTTGCTGTGGAGGCGGTCTTCACGGGGATGAGCCTCAGCTGCAGCCCCTCCCTAACTCGCTCTATCACCTCCCTGCCCTCGCCCAGCAGCAGCCCGTACATCACCTGCCGCAGCGGCCTGGCGGTAAGGTGAGCGCTTGGTGCGGCGGCGAGATCCACAAAGACGCTGAAGCTCATCCTCTGCAGCAGCAGCACGTCCAGGATGACCGGCGGCAGCCTAGCCTGAATCAGAGGCAGCCGGGACCAGTCCGGGACACCAGCCACCTCCAGGGGGACAAAGTGAGGATACTTGTTAGAGGAGAAGGACTCACATCCTGTACTGGAGTTAAAGTAGAAGTACTCAGATCTTGTACTTGAGTCAAATAGAAGTACTCAGATCTTGTACTTGAGTAAAAGTAGAAGTACTCAGATCATGTATTTGAGTAAAGGTAGAAGTACTCAGATATTTTACTTTAGTAAAAGTAGAAGTACCAGAGTGTAGGAATACTCTGTTAGAGTAAAAGTCCTGCATTCAAAATGTTACTGAAGTAAAATTAGGAAAGTATGATCATCAACATATAGTTAAAGTAGCCAAAGTAAAAGTAATCATTGTGTAGATTGGTCCATTTCAGAATAATATACAGTATATGATATGTTTTATAATCTTTGATGCATTAAAGTGTTGTCAAAGCTGGTAAAGGTGCAGCTAGTTTTAATGACTTTGTATACTGCCCAACAGCTCTTCCCAGGTCCAAACAGCGCAGTAATCCCCAGATATGCATTATTTGGAAAAACTGTTTATTTGGCAAGAAACGGTCTATAAAGCTGATAGCAAAGTAATAGCTCTTGAACGGAAGTTGGAACACAAAATAAGGCACACAAAATGTGGAAGCGACCTATATCAGGTGAAGAATGGAGGTGAATATTGAATCTCTTTGGATGAAAGTTAAATGTTATATATTATCATTACTTCTGTGGAGAATGGAGGTGCTATCCCATGGATGAAGAACTTCTTGAGGGCGCTGGGAGGAAGTTGGTAGTCCTCCATCCCCAGATGCAAGCCCTTCATCACCTCTGCCTTTTTGTTGGGGCTCAGTTCTCCCATCAGCCCCAGCGCCGCCTCGAAGGCCTCCTGAGGCTTCTGGAAGTTCTGCAGCCAGTACAGCAGCCCCTCCATGTGGCCCGTGTTCCCGCCACCTGCCGGGGCGAACTGATTCCAGCTGACGCCCGCCTGCAGCCGGTGTGGCTTCACGCAGTCGTTCCCAGCCAGGGCGGCGAAGGCGGGCAGGAGCTGGCGCTGGATTTTAAAGAAGATGCAGAAGCTGGAGGTGTTGTAGCTCTTGCAGGGGATGTAGCTGTTGGAGCCCCTCCGCTCGACCGCCTCCCACTGGAAGTCTGAGAGGGGCAGTAGCCCCTCCGGAAGGTCGTAGATGTAGAAGTCGCTGTCTCCGGAAAGCACCGGGCACTGCCACTCCCGGGCCAGGGCGGCGATCTCCAGGTCAGTCTCTCCATAGCACTGAGCCACCTGGACGTCCAGCCGCCTCAGCGTCTGTCGGAACACCAGCTTCACCAGCATCGGTAGGATGTCCTTGCGCTGGCCGCCCTGTGCCGCTTGATTCGCCTGTTTGATATGACCCATTGCTCTTTTCTTCACGGTTTCATTCTTCTTTTCTGAGATGTCCAATCCACCGTCCAGCACTATGTAGGGCGTGATCTGACAGTCTCTGAGCACTTTAACAAACGTCTCAATAAGGGCCGCGAACGCAGCATACTCCCCGCCGTGATTCTGGTCCAGACCTGAGCAGTCAATAACAGGAAACACAAGGAACACATTGAACACAGCAATACGAAAGCTCTTTTCACACATGCTCTGCAAACCTTCTTTTCCTCTCAGGAAGTTTTCTAGCTGAGGAATTGACCCGGAAGTCTCTAAGCTGCAGCTATGATAAGAGAGTTCTTTATATGATAGGGAAGGAGCCTCAATGCTTCCTTTATTATCTCCTTTAGGGTACACCATCCTTTAGAAAAGGAGAGGAGATTATGCTGTCCCACAATTCCATGCACTAACCAAACGTAACCATTCACAGAAACAACCAAACACAGATCGTGTAAATTACGCTGCTTATTGAACCACATCTTATAACTAACTAAGGTTCCTAAGCAAAACGGACTATTCGACCGCAACCCAGGGTAGCAGTCGAATTGTCAGTTTTGCTTAGGAACCTTCCTAATGGAGTGAAATGACCTGGAAGAACCTCAGTGGCAGTCATGATAAGAGCCGTTCGAATTCTCTAGATGATAGGAAAGGAGGTTTCAAACTCCCTTTATAACCTCCTTTAGCTTAGGAAACACTGGACCTTCCTTTACAAAAGGAAAGGAGAAAATGGTGCCCCACAATGCCTTGCGGCCACAACATTTGCCGTCACACAACATTCAGTTCTCAGAAACAACCGATCGTGATCGGTACAGTTGTATGAAGGTTACGGTGCTTGTTAAGCATTTTACAACTTATGTGGTAACGTGCAAAAGTACTTTGTTTTGAATGTCCAACACTATAATAATCAAAAGGAGAAATATGAATGTTACTTTTTTACTGAAATGATCAAATAAAGTCAACATTTCATAGTGTTTACTGAGCTGTGTGGGGTTTCTTAAACTTTACACGTTTCAATGCTTTAATTTTTTTATTTCAATTCCAACCTTGGTCATGAAGAATATGTTTCTCTGTTGTCCACGTTCATAAAGCATAAAACAACACCATGAGAGCACGGTGCATAGTATCTAGATGCGTTTACAGTAGTCCGCCGTTCTTATTATACATCCATGTAGTGCGCTGTATAAAAAAATGTAGTTTCCCCAAAGCAGAAGCACATTTATGAGGTTCGCTGGCGCATCATAAATACGTCGACAGTGTAAGTGCGGTCGGATTCTCAAAGCACCGCAGTCTCTTTTCCTAAGTCCTTTTGAATTCTCCTATCCACTATTCCTTAACCCTGTGACGTTTCACACAGAGGTCAAGGAATAGTGGATAGGAAAAGACGATAGGAGCACATTTTTGGACAATTCGACTGCTACCCAGGGGACACTAAAAAGTGACGCACACAGCAGGGAGACCAGGGGCCACTAATGTGACTACCTGATTTGCATGTTTGCCCGATTTGCACTGCACAAGTGCAAATCTTTCTGCCATATTGGACAGCTACATACGGCAATCCAAACAGGACATTTGATGTCCGTACTGATCTAATAACAGAGCTTTGTTCTTGAATCAACTTTTTTTATGAAAAGTAATTTCCCTTTTCCAAGAATCTCAACAGAAAAGGTTTGTCCAGACATACATTTCTAATGTTAAATAAATGAAAAACAATTCACAGTTAAGAATTAGATATTAATTATGAATGCCATAAATGATTGCACACATTAGGCGCTTTCACACCGGAGTACTTTTCCCGGTATAGTTCCGATAGTTCTTGAAATTTTGCATTCACACCAAAAATATCAGGAACTAGAACTTAGTTCATGAGAACCTTTTCACCCCCTTTTTAGTCCCTGCTAGAGAGCAGGTACTTTCATGGGAGAAAAAGGTTCCCATTTCTGATTGGCTGGGCGGATTGCAAACCACGCCCCGTAAAACTCGGAAAAGTTTTGTGAAGCCGCCATTTTATTTGCTGGCATTAGCATTATTAGCATTAGCATTAGCCCAGCGCACCAACGGAGAGAGACTAACTTATGGCAACACAAAAAAAAACATGGAAGCGGTGGAGTGATGAGGAGGTGTCGGCGTTCTGGCGATTTACTCGGAAGGCTTCAGTAGAAGCAGCTGGGAGTCCCAGCAGCTTCTACTGAAGCCAGTCCCCAACTCCGGGGACTTCCGGCCGGGGACTTCGGGTGGCAGTATACGACGTGAAGTTGTTTGCGGCCTGCCAGTAAACCCAAAGCAGAAGAAGAAGAAGTGACGTCAGCGGCTTCATTTGCCTAATCCTCCCTCAGGAACTTATTCCGGTGTGAACGCGATCTGCTCTGAAACAACTAATTTGTATGGGCTCAGAACAGTCTCATAATACACACATGCACACCGAAGGATTCACACTTGTATTTCATGATCCGCAAAAGGATTCACACTTGTATTTCCGGATCCACACTTGTGTTTTTTAATGCACACACAAATGTGTTCCGTTGCATATACATGTAAATAAAATCTAAATACAGAAAAAAGTTTTACATATGTATTTTTGATCCACACATATTTGTTTTCCGTTTAAAACCGCTGCACCTGCAAACACAACCCGCTTTCTGTGCATGGATCGCTGTGCAATCGTGTGTGGGTTTTTTGAGACTCCCCTGACGGTCACCCGATTCGTACTTGTAATTGTTTCTATCTATAGCCAATCATATGTCTCCTCCATTCTAAGCCAATCACATGAGCGCGCCCCCACGAGGGTATGATTTCTTGCGTTCATGACGGAGCGCTTCATGTACGCATTTTGCGCTGTCTGGAGTTGACAGGTCCATGGAGCCTGCCTGCAGGCGCTAATCTCAGGACACCTCCACTCTCAGTACTACTTTGCCACTTTCTGAACAGGAAATGCACGCAAATACAATCTTTTATATTATTAAGGTACAGCACCACTTTCCGAACCATTAATGAATGCTTGTGTACACAAAAACGGCAGGCAAAACCGTTTTAAATGTGTGTTTCCTGTATGGCGAATACAGCTGCTTTATTTATGTCTGTATGAAGTTGTTGTGAGTGTGGAGGGAGCAGCTACAGGTTAGCTTAGCCTAATCGATCAGTGGCCTGTACTACGAAGCCAGTTCAACAGACCCTGGATATCTCTGAGTTATCTAGCTTAACTAACCCTAACAAGCGAGATCCCGCTAAGCGGTCCTACGACCATACTTGCCAACCTTTGGGTTGAGCATTTCAAGCGGTTAGAACTGTTAGCGCCGGAGCCTCGCAGCGGGGAAACAGACTTTTACAGATTAAAAGAATATCTACACATGCTTATTGTAGTTGTAAGTGCAATGCCTTGCTGCCTGTAGCACCATCCTAGATGGAGCATATGTGTGGGCTGGACCTGTATTTTACAGGAAAGGAGTGAGCAGAGGGTAGAGTTGTCCATTCTTGTTCTGTTTTCTGTGACTATCTTCCTCACCATGCTGAACACCCTCTCAGACTTTCAGTTGCGCTTGCTACTAAAGAGACGCGCTACCATGGAAACCAAACAATGGTGTACCTGTATTAAAGTCAGAGTGGAAACGGTCGTGAGTAAATCTGATTTTGTCAGAATGCGGGAGAATTATGACCCCGGGAGGAAACCGGGAGAGGGCAATGAAATCGGGAGTCTCCCGCGGGAGGGTTGGCAAGTATGCCTACGACGCTGGTTATCAACTCGGTAAATCAACCCAGGGTTTCTCTGTACAGCTGTACTTCATGAATGAAAAGTAAACTATAATAAACAAATATGAAGTTAAACTTTAAACATCCATGACTTAAACACTTAATCCAGGATAAAGCAACATAGCTGCACCTGCAAGCTGAATACAGAACAGCTGGTACAAAAAAACGAGTGTTTGATTGCGTACATTAACAGGTTTATGATATCACTGCCCCATCTAAGACACGAGTGGATCTGACTTTAATTACATTTGACTCAATTATTTCGTCAATTTAATGTGTACACTTCGGCATACAGTATGTAACTATAACCCCTAGATTCCACCGGGTCCGTCTGCGTCGCGTTACGGCTGCGCCGCGGCGTTCTCAAAGATCGTGGCCACTCTAGTCAATGGGTGCTATTCCACCAGACCAGCCTGTCCTCCTACAAAAAACGACCATATAGGTCGATTGTTCAAGCCCTTATTACGACCCAGAGACACGTTTTAAAGTGTATGTTGTTTCTTACATGACCACTAGAGGTGCTCTAGTTGTCGTGTAAGAAACAACATGCTTGATTGCAAACGCTCCGGAGGGACGTTTATTCACAAATAACCCTCTCTGGAAAATCCTAAATTGTGGAATAGTTTGGCCATTAAAATGCTTTTTGATTCGATTTCTAGCGAGAAGTGTATATTGTACTCTTAGAATCCACGTCCAGTCGATGTGTAGGATCTATAGTTTGATAGATATTACGAAGATGATTTGAGGTCTCGCCAGGATAACGTGTATATGCGGCATGGTGTTATCATACATTTTGCAGACCCTATCCCTCCGTAGTCTTTCAAGTAGGAGGAGAAATGCCAGCGTTCTCCTCCGGTTTACAGGCACTGTGTAAATTATATATATAGAATAATTATGATGATGAATGCATTTTCTTACCACTAAAATACAGCAACACATCTTTGATTCATGTCGTTTAGAACTGGGATATTACAATTATTATTAACTTTGTCTGTACAAAGTAGCCTGTCCAGGAAATATGCCCAAATCAACAAAAACTGCGAGCCGGCAGGCAAGACGCTCCGCTTCTGAAATGCTTCTGAAATGCTTCTGAAACGCGCCCGGTAGGGTATGACGCCGGAGGAGGCCGGACCAAAACCGCGGCGCAGCCGTGACGCGACGCAGACGGACCCGGTGGAATCTAGGGGTAAGTGTTGCACGGCCAGATACGGCTCGAGAAGCTGACTCAGATGAATGAGGCGAGTAAACACAGCTGACAGCCGCCGTGATTATTCGCATTGCGTCCGGTGTGAACACACCATTATTACAAGTATTATATAATTACAAAATAAAATCGCCACTCTCAGTACAGCGCCACTTTCCGAACAAGAAATGCACGCAAATACAATATTTTATATTATTATTATTATTATTATTATTATTATTATTAATACTAATATATATATATAAATAAAGACATCTTGTATTTTAGTTACACCCGCTATTGATTAATTGTTTCAACATTGGACCTTGACACCGACCACATAGCTAGAGTGAAATAATATAATCGAAAACATTAAGCCTCTTTGATTTAATAATCGGAGATGAAACCTCTCTGCCATCTCATATAACACACACTTCCTTATTTATCTTTGAATAATAATAACGTAAAAATAAAGACGACAATACTATGGTCCTTCGGTACTGAGATTAGCGCCTGCAGGCAGGCAGGCTCCATGGACCTGTCAGCTCCGGACAGCGCAAAATGCGTATATGAAGTGCTACGTCATGAACGCAATAAATCATACCCTCGTGGGGGCGCGCTCATGTGATTGGCTTAGAATGGAGGAGACATCTGATTGGCTATAGATAGAAACAATTACAAGTACGAATCGGGTGACCGGTCAGGGGAAGTCTCAAAAAACCGAATGCACAGCGATCCATGCACAGAAAGCGGGTTGTGTTTGCAGGTGCAGTGGTTTCAAACGGAAAACAAATATGTGTGGATCAAAAATACATATGCAAAACATTTTTCTGTATTTGGATTTTATTTACATGTATGTGTGCATTGAAAAACACAGGTGTGGATCCGGAAATACAAGTGTGACTCCTTTTTATGTATTTATTGTCAAAGCATTTAATGTATTCATTGCTATCGGGATGTTAAGAGCATTCCATGGAATATTACAAAAAGTGTTTCTGAAGTGAATTACCTACCCCACCTTTAAATCAGACTTTAGTTACACCTGGAGTAAATTCACAAGCTACCCTGCAGTATACAAAGTCATTCAAACTAGCTGCACCTTTACCAGCTTTGATAACACTTTAATGATCAATAATTATAAAACATATATTATTCTGAAATGGAACAATCTGCACAATGACTACTATATTTTGATGATAATACTTTTCTACTTTTACTTGAGTAACATTTTGAATGCAGGACTTTTACTGTAACAAAGTATTCCTACACTCTGGTACTTCTGCTTTTACTCAAGTACAAGATCTGAGTACTTCTACTTTTACTCAAGTACAATATTTGAGTACTGTTCTGTGTACTGCAGTACTCACCTGAGTTGAAGTACAGCCAGTGGTAGAGGTTGCTGCCGTCGATCAGCAGCCGGCAGTGAGAGAGGCGGCGATCCCGGTAGATGCTCCGGTGTTTCTTCAGCAGAGTGGTCAGGCCTTGGACTCCCATCCTGGGCAGAGAGTTACGGAGGAGCCGGTGGGGGGGATCCGCTCTCATAGGAGCTGCTGCACCTCAACCCTCCCTTAAGTTTCACTTTCCTCACATCACAGCAGCTCCCAGTCTCTGCCTTCTCTCCACCGTGTTAAGCCATTATTTAAAAATATTTAGTCTTTATTTTGAGAAATTAAGTCATTCTTGAGATATTAAGTAATTATTTTGTAATATTAAGTAATTATTTTGTAATATTAAGTAATTATTTTGTAATATTAAGTCATTATTTGTAATATAAAGTCTTTATTTTGTAATATAAAGTCTTTATTTTGTAATATACAGTTTTATTTTGTAATATAAAGTCTCTATTTTGTATTATTAATTAATTATTTTTTAGATATTAACTCATGTTATTTAAAAAGTTCCTAATTTAAATGACTTACCTGCCTCCCATGACTGCGGTCAAGCCAGCCTCCACTTCGGAAAACACAGTCAAGCCAGCCCGCACGTTGTATTGCGGTGCGCGAATATCCTATGCCTTAAAAGGCCTGGAAAAACTGCCTTCAAAATAAAAGCGCTTACTCGGTCAATAACAAATACACCTAAAAAACATACCAAACATATTCATATATACTGGAGCTTAAATTAAGAAATATGTACTATATAATGTGATCAATAATTATTTTAAACAAACTACGTATAACTACCACATTATAACTGAGTGAATGTAAAACTTAAGGAGTTTCAAAATAAAATACTTTTGAAATCTCATATATGGGCTATCGTCCATCTGTTTTTAGATAAGAATAAAACAAAAACTCTCCAGTATCAAAGACTAATATCAATCCAGGGTGATAGCAGGACACCCAAACTAGTCACTCAGAGGAAATCGGGACAATCTGATAAAGAGTTTCAAAAATAAAAGACATTTGAAGTCTCATATATGAGCTATCATCCCTCTGTTTTTAGATAAGAATAAAACAAAAACTCACCAGTATCGAATACTTATTTCACTCCAGGGTGATAGCAGGACACCCCACAAACTATACATCAGATTGTCCTGATTTTCTCTGAGTGACTAGATGGGGTGTCCTGCTATCACCCTGAAGTGAAATAAGTATTTGATACTGGAGAGTTTTTGTTTTATTCTTATCTAAAAACAGAGGGATGATAGCTCATATATGAGACTTCAAAGGTCTTATTTTGAAACTCTACATCAGATTATCCTGATATTATCTAAATGACTAGTTGGGGTGTGCTGCTATCACCCTGGAGTGAAATAAGTGTTTGCTAATTGACAGTTTTTGTTTTATTCTTATCTAAAAACAGATGGACGATAGCCCATATATGAGATTTCAAAAGTATTTTATTTTGAAACTCCTTAAGTTTTACATTCACTCAGTTATAATGTGGTAGTTATACGTAGTTTGTTTAAAATAATTATTGATCACATTAAATAGTACATATTTCTTAATTTAAAGGTGGGGTAGGTAATTTTGGAGAAACCAGCTCGAGTGCGCTAGAATTTGAAAATACACAACCGGAAAAAATCTGCCACTTCCTTACAGAGCCCCTCCTCCAACACACACGAACGCGCACATGACCAATGAGGGCACGAGATAAGTCTGTGCACAGATGGAAGGCTGACCGGCAGGTAGGCCATCCAGATATTTTAGCTGGTACTACGGCTTCCACAGATGACATTTTTTATGAATTTTTTGTCAAAGCATTTCATATATTCATTGCTATCGGGATGTTAAGAGCATTCCATGGAATATAACAAAAAGTGTATCTTGAGCCGGTTTCTCAAACTTACCTACCCCACCTTTAAGCTCCAGTATGTATATGTTTGGCATGTTTTTTAGGTGTATTTGTTATTGACCGAGTAAGCGCTTTTATTTTGAAGGCAGTTTTTCCAGGCCTCTACCGTAATGCATAGGATATGTCCCCTCAAACAACCTGAGGGATGGGTGGAGGTCAACTTAATATTTGTATTTCATTGCAAAAATGGTTTGGATACAACTAGAACATTAGGTGTGCCAAGAGAGGAGATGTAAATGGTCTACAAAGGCTAAACGCCTCCATTGGACTCCTTTGTTTACTACTGGAACATAGGAAAGTCTCACCTGGAGAGGGGGGGGCTCAGGTAGTACTCACCTGGAGAGGGGGGATTCAGGTAGGACTCACCTGGAGAGGGGGGGGCTCAGGTAGCGGTCGGCCCAGCAGTTGGTTGAGCTGCAGGCTGGACTTCAGGCAGGACTGCCACTGGTTCAGAGAGTGAGACACCTGCATGTCCAGCTTCTGTCTGGGGGGGGGGGCAGGGCTGAAACACACACACACACACACAAACACACACACACACACACACACACACACACACACACACACACACACACACACACACCTCTGAGTCACAGGCTGTATTCCTATTTGTTTTCATTGTCTGACATTTGATATACCTGAGTACATTTATTCAGGTACAATTTTGAGGTACTTTTGATGCTTTATTTGTTGATTCCACTCCACTCCATCTCTGAGGGAAACATAGGAAAGTCTCACCTGAGGGGGGGATCAGTAGGACTAACCTGGAGAGGGGGGGCTCAGGTAGGACTCACCTGGAGAGGGGGGGCTCAGGTACTGTGCGGACTGAGGCTGGAAAAAGGAGTCTTTTTTATTATGGTCCTTGGTCTTGGAATGACCTTCAATCAAGCCTAAAACTGATGGCACTTGTCTCTATAGCATGTTTTAAATTGAAGTTGTCTGAAGTCCTCACCACCAGCTGCTCTTGCAGTAACAAGGAGTGTACTTTTCTTACTGTCCTAATGTGCACAATTTAGTGACTGCTTTTTCGTCTTTCGTTTTCTTAGTTATGTTCTCTGTATTTTATATGTTTGTGTTATGTGTTATGTGTAACGTTGCTGCCTTCTTGGCCAGGTCAGCATTGAAAATGATATTTTATCTCAATGTTTTTATCTGGTTAAATAAAGGTTAAATAAAAAATAAATAAAAAAAGGTAGGACTCACCTGGAGAGGGGGGGCTCAGGTAGCGGTCGGCCCAGCAGCTGGTTGAGCTGCAGGCTGGACTTCAGGCAAGACTGAGAGTGAGACACCTGCATGTCCAGCTTCTGTCTGGGGGGGGGGGGGGGGGGGGGGGGGGGGGGGGGGGTGATGATCTAACTTGAAGTGTGTGTTTTGTTCCGCTCATCGCTCCATCACAGCGGGCAGAGCTTATCATGCAGAGCTGCGGTCTCCTCTCCTGTCCGATTAGACTTCACTCGCGCTTATGTCCATATCGATCAAATCTAGCTGGAAGTTCCTGCTGGGTGCACTGTCCTGCGAGATACCGGGACCTGGCTCGAAACACTGGGGCTATTGCGTCATCGTTAGCAGGAAATTATCGTTATAGAGGGCGTAATCACGGAGCCGTTTGACCCCCCAGAGCGCTTCGTCCACAGATCTACCCACCTTGGGACCCGGTATCGTTATCGTTTTCTGCGTTTCCATGTCGGCCTCGTGTGGCCGAACCGTCTATCTGATAGAGAACTGTAGCAGATACGACCGTTATCGTACTCGTGTGGCTGCAGCCTAAATGACACGACTCAAAGCAGCAGGCAGCAGCAATCTGCACTCTGCGCAGCCTGCGCTGCTGGCTTCCTCCAAGTTTACAGTAAAACAAACTGGTGGTGTGACCAATGGCCATTTACAATTATTAATACTATTACTATTATTAGCATTAGTCTATAATTTGGTTGAAACTAAGCCAGGAAACATAAATAATAATAAAAAAATATATAAATAAAAGCGAATTTTAAAAATAATTTTCGATTATGGAGACTGTAACGAATATTCGAAAAATCGAATAATCGCTGGCATCCCTATTCTGCAGCAGCAGCACGTCCAGGATGACCGGCGGCAGCCAGGCTTGAATCAGAGGCAGCCGGGACCAGTCCGGGACACCAGCCACCTCCAGGGGGACAAAGTGAGGATACTTGTTAGAGGAGAAGGACTCACATCCCAACCCAGTCTCACGGCATTTCGTGTTATAGTCACGAAATTAATCGATTGATTCGTGTTCACCAACACGATTTTCCCATTTTTTTCGTGTCACACAACGATTTTAAAAGCAATGTAAATAATAACAAATTAGAAGGAAAAAAAGATTTTAAAAATACAGATTTCAGTATTCTGAGGCTCTGAGCTCCATTTTTTTTCCTCCCGGACGGCAAAAAAAGTCCGACATTATACCATTTAAAATAAAAACAATAATCGTGGCTTGATATTGAGTAAGAAAATGTTTTTATGAACCACACAGCTTCTGGTCTTCCAAGACCCGACCGGACAAAAAGACGTGGTGCAGGCACTACCAATAGAAATACTTATGTCAACGAAGCACAGCTCTGCAAACTGTTTGTGTTTGTTGTACAATGTGTAGGTGTGAAATTGCTCCTTTCTGCAGTCATCGCCTATCGGCCAATATATGCACTGCAGTTTGTGGCACTTCCGTATTGGCGTCCCGGCTCTTCCCCAGAGTTTGCCGCTTGGTAGAGACGCAGTCAGTGTGTTTTACTGGAGCCTCAGTTCGATAAGAGATTATTTTCTGAGTTCTTTAACTTAGGTACTCTCTCTCAAAATGGTAATGTGCATTATGTTTTAATTATACTTCTTATCATTCAGAAGCTTTTTGTGTGTGTTTATGTTTTACTGAGTGCTTATAGGCTATTTCCATCCCAGTATTCAGTTAACTATTTATTTTCTGTGCACATTACATAGACTAGCTAATATTCTACCTACAGTACTGCTTGGGACTTTGAGTCTTCAACATGTCCAATTAGGGATGGGTATCGTTAAGGTTTTAACGGTACTACTACTTTTATCGATACCGCTTATCGGTCCGGTCTTTTAACGGTACTCTTATCGGTTCTTTTGGAGAGAAAAATGAGGTAAACTAACTATATGTTGTATGTCAGGGACGACGGATGGAAATTAGCTCAAAGCTAAAATCCAGCATATTTACACTTGAAGCTAGGGTGACCAGATGTCCCGCTTTGCGCGGGACTGCACAGCATTTTCACGACTTTTGGTGCGTCCCGCAAATTGAGACGATGTCCCGCATATTTCATTTTGATTGGCCAAAAGGCTTTTCTGCCATTATGATTATGTTTTAAACGGCATTATGTAAGTTGCGCTGACAGGCGACAGAGGTCCACAGTGACCACACCCCAACCACCCCACCACCACCCAAACCCCCCCCCCCACACACCCCCCCCCCCCCCCCCCCCCCCCCCCCCCCCCCCCCCCCCCCCCCCCCCCCCCCCCCGTTGACAGTTCATGCGTCAACATTACATTTACATGTCCCACATTGTCCCACACAAATATACTCTCTGTCCCACTTGTGGCTTTCTGTCACCTGGTCACCCTACTTGAAGCATTATTTGTCTAAAGTGTTCATTAATGTGCATTGTCCCTATTCAAATAAACGATTAAATGAAAATTAACAAATTGTGAACAAAACTAACATTGCTTTTTATTTAAATGAAATGCATAATATTTCACATCAACAGAAACAACAACGTTTTAACAAATCATATTAAATAATCTGATGACAGAACTGTGAACAGAATGGCTGAAACTTTAACAAATTAAATAACTCAGTTCCCTCTAATCATTAACCCATGTTTGAATCATTGAGTTAGCTCAGTGTGTTGCTGCTAGCATACATAACACCTGACGTGGAAACGTTACTCGTGGATGGGGCTACAGAGCTACTAGAGAGACAGTCGAACCCGGTGCATTTCTCCGTCTGAACGTGGTGCACTTTTGCAAGATGTTTAGACAAATTGCTCGTGTTACCGCCCTGACATGCTAAACTCTTATTGCACTTTAGGCAACGAGCGAGACGGGTAAAGTTTAACCACACCTCGGAGCGCGTTCTCTCCGCCATCTCCTCCGTGTGTGTGTGTGTTGCTGCATGTAGCAGCTGCGTGTGTGTAAACTGCCCCGCCCCCTCGCAAGCAGGCGGGGGAGAGAGATCTCTCGTCTGGATTGGAGAGATCGAAAATACTAAAAATGACGCATTTTGCAGTCTTTTTGCGTATTAGAAACGGAGTTGGCGACACTAAAACTGCAATATAATGTTTGTGTAGCAATAATACACATGACATATTTTTAGATGTCTCCAGTACCGATAAAAAGACCGATAACGTCGGAGCTTAACGGTACCACGGTCTTTACTAATTCAGCCCGGGGCCCGTTTAATACGGGGCTCGGTACCCATCCCTATGTCCAATGTCACAGACTGGGACTTACTTTAGAGTCAGTTGTATTTACATTCAGTATGACTTGTTATGATTCAATGTGAAAGAGTATACTGCTCAATAAATCATTATCACTTCACCACCTCTCTTGACATCTAGGCACTTGAGAGTGAGGTCAAGAGGCAGAATACAGGGACAGTGGAGAGAGGTCCATTGCTGAGGTGAGTGATGAAAGGGAAATGACAGTTGAGAGTAAATTGTGATGTGGACTCTCATCCCAGGATTTTACGGAAATCAGTGGGGATATTGAACAGGAAACATTTCAGTCAAGGGGCATCATTATGACCAATATAGACAGAAGAGCAACATTTATTTGAACATTTAAGTCAATGATACCATTCCTAGGTGAACTTAACATCCGTATGGAGTCAGATCAGTCTCAATATTAATAAATGCTCACAGAAGGATTCACAAATGTATTTTGCGATTTATATATAAATGACTCTCCACAACAATATCTCTCAAGCACTCACAAATATTTATTGTTGTCTATAAATGTACAAAAAAATGGGCATTTAAACTGCTTTTTATTAATTCAAAGACAGCTCTGAAATTAATAATCAAAGGTTTCCTTTCTTTACTACTGGATGAAATTACCAAAATGTACCCATCATTTTCCTCATGCTAGTATAGCCACATAAAAGTATCAAACCACCTGTTAAAATGCACCAGAATACAGGAAATCTATATATTTTTTTCGCCCCCACACCCCCCGTTAAAAATGTCCCCCCCACATTCAGGATGCTTCCTACGCCATGCCCGGGCCGGAACTAGGCATATGGAAACGCAAACCAAAAACGGGCCCGGCACGACACGGCACAGCTTAAAACCGCGCTCCGCGCCATGGTGGAAATGCGCCATAATAGTTGTGGGCTCAGACTGGTCCTGAGGCAGAACACCGTTTGAGCCGGTTTGTGAACAGAGTGTTGCATGGCTTTTATCTTCCGTGTTTGTCATTGGTCCTTCAGTTGTTTTAAGGGGTCTTGCGGCACTATGAGGGGTATAAGAAG